GGGGCGCGCCCCTCGCGGCGGCGGCTGGGGGCCGCGACCCCTGTCTGTTGTGCACGCCGCAGGTGCCCGCGATCCAGCAGAAGAGGACGGTGGCGTTCCTCAACCAGTTCGTGGTGCACACCGTGCAGTTCCTCAACCGCTTCTCCACGGTGTGCGAGGAGGTAGGTGGGCGCCGCCGCCGGCCCGGGCGCACGGGCGCCTTCGGGAGCGCAGGGCGTCGCAGCGGGGCGCTTCCTTAGCTGGAAGTTCGTCCTACTCGCGGCTTACATTTGACAGTTGTGTCGCGTCTTCGAGCCTGCGGCGTGGCCTCGATGGGGCTGCGGGGCGGGGCGCCGGGCGGTGGGCGGCGCCGCGCGCTCGCGACCCCGGAGAGCCTGCGCTCCGCCCCTGGCGCTGCGGTGCAGTGCGAACGTAAGTACGAAAGCCTTTGTAAATATCAGAGCCCAGAAAGAGGAGGACAGCGAGAAACACGAATCGAAACTGAATTTAAGAAAAGAGAAAGAAAAAGAAATGATGGAACTTTCAGATAGTTTGCAGGTGAAGTCAGTTGAACGCTGGGACTCCCACAAGCCGTAGCTTTAAGGAGCAGAGGTTTTGCTGGGTGCTAAACAGTAAAGCAGTGCACGGGGACGGGAAAACCACCTTCACGCGTGTGGGATCCGGCTCTTTCCTCCTGTTATCGGCGTCTCCGGCCTCCTCCCTAAAACAAGCTAGAGGGAAATGGGGTTGGCAGACTGAGGAGCTCGGCGCACTGCGCCCCGTGTGTTCACGGCCCCACGGATGCGGTGCTTGCTCCACTGACGACTGTTCCAGACTCTCGTTTCTCCAGACAGGATGGAGAATGCGCTGATAAAGCCCAGCAAGCCTCACAATGAATGTAATCATGATTCACTGCAAACATGTACTGATAAAAACTCAAAAATTAAGAAAAGAGTAACCCAACACTTCCCTTTTAATTTATGTACTGGAGGAGGAGAAGTATTTGCAGAAAGAATGTCCTGGGTTGGTTAGGGGAAAGAAGAAAATATTTCCTCCTAGTCCGTCGGGCTGGGTTAAGAAAATAACGAGCCCACACACCTAGGAAAGGAACTCGAGTAACCTCCCTTGTAAGCCTGGAGCTTTACTGCGGGGAGAATGGCGCTTCTGCTCAACAGCTGGATCAGAGGGAACTGTAACCCCCTGAGCGCTCAGGAATGATGGAGGCCCCCTGGCTGCCCTTTCACCTCTTATGTTCCTCTCGCCACAGCTGTTCGTGCTGTGTCACCATTCCTTCCTTCCTTGAGCCCTAAAGAAAAATTTGTTGACCAAAAACTCACCCGTTAAAAGATAGTCTGTTGCTTTTTCTCCTTTTTAAAAATACATTACTTATCTTCATTGTCTATAAATTGTATGGTTTTTGTGGTGGACAATACGATGTATTCATATTTTTACACATTGAGTGGCTAAGTCAAACTAGTAGGTGGGTTAGTTCATGTTCTGAAGTATTTTGTGATAAGAACTCTTACCTTAAAAGCTGCTCTCCCAGCAGTTTTCAGGGATACAATGTATTGTCCTTACCTGAGGTCACCAGGATGTGCAGCGTGGTTTTTTTGTTGTAGTGGTAGGGGTTTTTGTTTTTGTCTTTTTGAGACAGTGTCTCACTGTACAGTTCAGGCTGGCCTTGAACTCAGCAGTCATCTTGCCTCAGCCTCCCAAGTGCTGGCATTACAAGTGTGTGCCACCCCCTCTGGTATATGCAGTGGTTTATGTTGGACTTACTCCTTACGTTTCACCAAAATTTTGTATCCCTTGGCTGTAATGCCCCGGTCTTCCTGTCCTCCCCTCCCTGCTCATGCCAACCTCTGGTAAGCACCATTTTGCTCTCTGAGGTCTACTTTTTTCTATTCAACATATAAGGGAAGTCCTTTGTTCGATGTGTGTGTCTCTGTGCCTGGCTTATTTCATTCAACATAACATCCTCCATATCCATCCATGTTGTCACACACTACAGGACTTAATCCTTTTTCATAGCTGCATAGTATTCTGTGGTTTACGTGCACCTCCTCTGTTTATTCATCAGGTGATGACACTTAGGTCAGTTCCATTTTTGGCCTTGTGCATAATGCAGCAGTAAATGGGGAACTGCAGCTGTCTCTTCTCCCCACTCCTGTCGGGTCCTTGGGTACAGCCCAGCTGTGGAAGGGCCGGCTCGTACATAGCTCTTACTTTATTTTTGAGACATCTCCATACTGTTTTCCAAAAAGCACGTACTATACTAATTTACCCTCACACTAGCAGTGTACGAGGACTCCCTGTTGTCTCTATTCTGATACTTCTCTTTTTTTTTTTTTTTTCTCTATTCTGATACTTCTCAATAGTAGCCATTCTGACACTTGAGAGGTGATAATCTCTTCCAGCTCCTAATGACGGGGTATTGTGCCTTTACTCATGTCTTGGGCCTGTTTGTGTATTTTTTATTGGTACTGGGGATTGAACCCAAAGCCTTTACAGTGAGCGGCTGTATCTGCAGCCCTTTGATCTAACTCATTTACTGATCTGTGTTCATTTTTGGAGACGAGTCTCACTCTGTAGCCCAGGCTGGCCCTGAGCTCACAGGGATGGCCCTGCAGCCTGCGTCTGTGGGGCCAGGCCTGGTCCATGAGAGTGGTTCTGGAGCCTTGGCCCAGCCCGCACGAGGTCTCCTGGCCCTGTGGAGCCTGGGCCGTGGGCCCTGGCTTCCCCACTGAGCGCGTGGCGGTGTCGCAGACCCAGCCACGGTGGCTGCGCCTGGACCCGTGCCAGAGTCGGGCGGGTGGGCCCCGAAGTGCCCGGTGTCTCCTGTGGCTCTGGGCGCTGTGAGGCTCCTTCCTGCCCTGCCCCAGTGGACGCTGCTTCTCCACGCTGCGCTCCTGCCTGCGCGCGTCCTTCCTCGCTGTCACCTGTGCGCTCTCCTTCGCTGTGCCGGGGGGTTTTGGCGGGCTTGGGTGGCTGGCTGCGGGCAGGCGGGTGCGGCGAGCCGCGCGGCGCCGTCCTGCTGGGCTCCGGCCCTCCGCAGCGGGAGCGCGGGGCGAGCACGCATGGGCCCCTGGGAGCCGTCAGGGTGTGTGTGGCGGGAGAGGACCGTGGTTGGGCTGACTTCGTGCCCGGCGGCGCGCCGAGTTCTCCCGTGTTGAGCGTGCACGGTGGGACCGAAACCGCCGTGTCTCACGGCCGCGCTCGGGTTTGACTCCGAGGGCGCCCAGGCCGGAGCCCCGTGCGCGCAGACTGGCCCGTCCCTCGGGGGTCGCTCCTCCGGGTCTCCGAGGACAGACCGCAGAGGAAGGCGCTGATGCGGCAGACCGCACGTGAGCGTGTTTCGGTCCCCGGGCAGGCGTTAGGGTGCTGTAAGGGACTGTGACACGGCTGGCGCTGCCACGGCGGCTGCGAATGCGTGTTGTCTGCGCCCGCAGCGGGGACTTCCGAGAGTCCCGTGTTCAAACTGAGAGAACTAATTGTTGATAAAGTGCTCACAGGCATAAGTACATTGCTTTTAATTGGGTGAAATTTGTTCATTATTGCGATCACTTAAATTGGTATGAATAGGATTAATATTTATGCTGCGCAGTCGTTATTCACATTCAGCTGACTAGATTTGGTCCATTTATAGACCCTAGCGATTTTATTAGAAAAGGAAAGTGAATGGTGGTTGGGTCCCCTGTACCCCAGGAACACCAGCCGCCCGCCGGGACAGTCACGTGGGTACCTTGGAGGTTTGAGCCATTGGGACCGTGTTGATTGTCACAGCCACGGTCCTGGAGCCGTCCACCATGTTTTATAACCTGTATTTATGTTTACACAAAAGCTTCTGTGAACAAACACCAGAAGTCATGGTTAAACCTAGCTTTGCTGCCATCGAAACTTGATTCTGTTGTATTTCTAGGTTATACCTGTGGGGATGCCAAGGTACTCACCCTGAGCGCTGTGTAGCCTGGCACGAGAAAGGCTGTGGTTCCACAGCAAAGCGCACCGCACCAGTTCATGATAAGCTGGAGCTTTGTGTCCCTCTGTCTGTCAGTCTGGCCCAAGTTCACAGAGCAGCCGCGGTTGCACCTGTCTTCTGGTCCACGTTCCCTGGGGCGGTGCTCACCCCTAAGCCCCAGCTTGCAAAAGACAGAAGAGGCAAAATACAAGGAAGCGGCTTTGCTTTAGATGACAGGCATTGGGGCCAAGGGCAGTGCTGCCCGCAGCCTGAGCCCCGGGAGGCCTGGCCTCCAGCAGCACAAAAATGCTCTGGGTCCTGTAGAGAAGGGGGACTCCGTGTGCTCTTGCACGGTGTTCTTCTCCTCGTGGCTATAAGCGCAGGGAGCAGGTCTCAGATGGCAAGGCACCGCCTGTCATTGGGGACCTTGATGGAGAGCGCGGCCTGTGTGCCCGCTCATTCGCTGGCACCAAGAATATTTAAGACGGAGTTTTACTCTGTTTCTTCTTGGCAGTGCTGGGTTGGAACCCAGAGCTTTGTGCTGCTGGGCCTGTGCATGCCACCGAACTGCTCTCCCAGCCCTGGGCAGGAGTTTCACATACACACTCTGATGGCCCATACTTTAGGGTGGTACCTTTTTTTTTTGGTACCAGGAATTGAACTCCAGACGTTACACTTGCCAGGCAGGCGCTTGTGCCGCTGAGCTGTATCCCCGGCCCTAGGGTGGTGCTTTCATTTGCGTGGGTATTATGCTTGTGTCTGGTGTCCCCTGGCCTGGCTGTGCTCAAGCTGTTCTCCTGGCCCCAAACCCTCACGCAGTCACAGGTGGGGCATTTTCAGAGGTGGTGGATCTCGAGTGTGATACTGGGGTTAAGAGTGTGTGATCACTAAATCGGTCCACTGATCGGTTCAGCACCACCCTGATCGCATAGCCTGGACAGAATATAAAAGGGGCGGAAAGAAGCTGCTGAGCTGTCTCGCTTGCTTTGCTACCTTCTGTCCACCATGAACTGTTCTCTTCCAAGATGCCCCTGTGCCATGCTCCCCTGCCGTGGAGCCAGCAGCTATGGACTGAACCCTCTGTAAACTGTGAGCCAAATGAAGCTTTCCTCCCTTAACTTTGGGTGTCGGATACTTTGTTTCAGCAAGGACAAAAGTAACAAAAACTGGATAAATGGTGCACGCAGACACTTTCATTGTGCTGGGTAGTTAGAGCACGGTAAACTCTTTGCTCTGGGTTGCCTTGGGCTTTGGTGTAGATTACTTCTCTTTGCTTTTTATGTGCTCTAATTTTTTATCTGAATTCTTTCTGGAATGAATTGTTCATCCTCCAGTGTCATCCTTTTTTTACTTTTCAAACTTGCAAAGTTAGAATTTGGGACAAACTGTATGTGCATGTGCGGTTTAGTAGTTTATAAAGGCAGATCCTGCTGCTGGCTCTGGAGAGGCCTTCAGCCCCCAGCAGACGGCGGCTGACTCAAGTCTCAGGCAGTGTTCCGGGAACTAGGGCTGCAGCAGTGAACAGAAGGCTGCTCTGGGATTATATTCTAATTATTACTTCAGTCCCTTTGATTGAAAACTAGTGAATATTGTTTTATAAATAACTGTAAAGATTACTATAAAGATAGGCCAATGCTTGAGTGCCCATTCTTACTCATGTAAATAAGAATGTTAGAAAATGACAAATTCTTGAGCAGTAGTTTTTATTCTTTCTAAACCTGCCCTGTGTTGTTATTTTGGACAGCTTTAACTGAACACTATTCATATGGCTCTGGTTTTTCTTTTGTAGAAACTGGCCAACCTCTCTCTTCGGATCCAGCAAATTGAAACAACTCTCAATATTTTAGATGCAAAGGTTTGTATTTTTGCCAAATGGATGGTATACACTTTGATAGACATGTACTAGCCTCAGTCTACTTGAATTGCACTTGGGAATGAATTAAATTTAGCTCATGCATCTTTGAAGTAGTACAGTATTGTGTTTTATAAATAATTTATAATTGCAAGTAAGTGTGTATTATGAACCACGAACTGAATCTTCCCAAATGTACACGGGGGGTGTGATGTCATCAGAAACACAGCGAGAGCTGCTAACGGATTGAGCTCTTATATAGTTCATTTGATGGACAGACGGTCCAAAGTTATTTGAATAGTTGTCATTTAACAGCTGTGTAATACAGAGATAATTACATAAAACTTTAGGTGTCTCCAGAGCAGACTCTACAGGCAGTATCAGCTGTTTTCCATTTGCAAATATCTTCAGTGCTAAGCAGGAGGGTCAGTGTGGTATTAGAAGCTGTAAGAGTTGACTGTGAAAAATAGAAGGCTGTTTTGATCCTGAAGTTTTTGGTATATAACAGTAGCATGTCTTAACTTTGTTTCATTTTTTAACACATTGTACATTGTTTTTCCTATTCATAAAGGAAACTACATTTTTGTGAGTTTATCCTTTTATCAAAGAAAAAAAATCCCATAAAAATGTGCAATTTTATGTATCAGGTAAAAAATTAAAGTTTAAAAATTGTCCTAAAATGCTTGTTAAATATTTTATGCATTTATGAGAAAGAAGAAACCATACCAGTATGTGTAGAATAAGGCCTGAGTGTCTGGCCCGTACTTGCACGTCTCCTGTGGACTTCAGCAGCTGTGCCGACATGCAGACACTTGTGTAGGTGAGAAGCGTAGGCCCCTGCTGGCCGTGCTCAGGCTGTTCTCCTGGCAGCCTCAGCCCCTTGAGCCAGCTGGGGCCGTGGCCACTGTGCCAAGAAGGGTGCTCAGTCAGCAGCTGGCGGGGAGCGCTGCCACTGGGATCGTACTAGCGTGGGTGCTTTCGTTAGTTCTCTCGTAAGACTGCAGGTCCTGTTGAAGTGTTCAGGTGTTCTCATGGGTGAGAGTCCCAGGTCACAAGTTACTCACTTTATTTAGTTCTGTGGCTATCGAGTTAACCTCTGAAGTTAGCCAAATACCTGACAAATGCGTATCATTGATGATCAAGATAAAATCAGAATAGAGGGTGTGCACAGGTCTTGCAAGTCTAACCTGAATTCTTAATGATTTCAGGCAGAAAGGCTGAGAGTGTACCATTTTTCACATATGAGAAACTACACATTTTTAATACCATTTAAATACTTCTTTATATGTACCCAGGGTCTGCCTCTGTTGGCCAGGCTGGCTTTGGACTCCTGGGCTTAGGCTGTTCTCCCGGCCCATCTCCCGATTGGCTGGGGTGGCAGCAGGGGTGCAGCGCCGTGCCCGGCACTAAGTAGCAGTTTAAAGACGGCGGAGTGAGCTGTGCCCCACACTCGGGTGTAAGAGCGAGAGTCTCTTCACATCCCAGACCGTGAGAACTTACAGTGTGCGCTAGCAAGAGGGCCGCTGCATTCCAGGCCAGCCTGCGCTTCACAGTGAGCTCAAGGGCAGCCTGGACTGCACAGCGAGGCCCTGTCTCAAAAAACGAAAAAATAAAAATAAACAATAAAATGTATGGGCCAAGGATATAGCTCAGTGGCATAAGCACCTGCCTGGCAAGTGCAAGGTCCTGAGTTTGATTCCTTTACCAAAAAGAAACCAAAAAACTATCTTACTAAGCATTTTTAAAAGAGAAAGTATTTTAAATAAAAATCTTTTTACAACAACTTATGGGTGATAAAGACTGAAGCATGGGTGCTGGGCAGAAGGGCGCAGAGCCTGTGAGTGCAGGGTGAGACTTGGGCAGTCTGAGCCCAAGGCCAAGGCTGTGCACCAGGTCTTTGTGCTAGGATTCTCTATATTTTAAAAATAATTTCTGAGAAAATAGTTACTAACTAAATTACGTTTGAGAAAACTTTTAAGAATATTTTATTTGTGAGTGTCTTTCACTTTTAGTTTATGACGTAGAGAATTAAAGGTGGCATTTTATGAACCTGTAGAATTTGTGCAGGCTCAGACTTGAGGCCGCTATTAAAACACACACACCTAGAAACAGTGCTCGTCCTGTACCCAGCATGGTCCTCTGACGCAAGCACTCGTCTGCTTTACTCAGCTGTCCTCTATTCCCGGCCTCGATGAGGTGACATTTGAAGCTTCTCCCGGAAGTGTCACCAGCGTCACAAACATATCCCATTCTGAAGCCACCTCAGAGCAGTCACAGGTACGTATCCAGGTTCCAGGAAACATACGCGCGTTTCTGGGTTGAACTCCATGGACCTAGGGCACAGTTGGGAGGAAGAAGTGAAATAAAAGGCTGACACTTTCAATAGTAAGATTATAATGTGTAAGACAGAAAATGAAGTTTGAAGGAAAAAAGTTAGCTGCTCTTATTATTTTGAAGAGATTCCCGAAGTTAATACTTTCTCCTGTAAAAAAAGCACATCAACTCAGAGGACTAGGAAATACCTTGAATATAATTACTTTCTTCAAGTTCACGATGGGGAGATTCCTAGTTCTGTAATGTTTTACCGTAAATTCAAACATCCACAGAAATAGAATAATACAGTGAATGTTCAGATTCCCGTTCCCTGCGTTCACCAAGGAAGGCTTTGTCACAGTGCCGTTCTGCCTGTCAGCTGCCGACAACCCCAGGCTTCAGGTCCTTTTCCCCGCGTAACTCCCAGAGCTCCTCTGTGACAGTGGCATTTCCCGCATCACACGGTCCTCTACACATGCCGTCCTCTACTTTGTCACCAGCAGTGTCATTAGTAATGGTTCCTGGTATCCGCATCGCGTCGTCTTGCACCTGTGTTCAGTCCTTCGGCCACATCAGGACGGGCAGTGCCGGCCCTGGGGGAGGACCGCGTGTAGGTACCGTGTATGAGAGGATGACTTAGGTGATCGTTTGCATCACGATTAGATCTGGAGAATTTCACTGCCATTTAATTCATATAGGAAACCTCATTTTGATGACTCCTGGAATGTAAATTCAATAGAGCAGCATGACATGACCCCGAGGCTCTGGGTGTCCCCAGGAGAAATGGTGAGGGGATTTAGAAAATAAAGACAAGACAGAGCTGAGGTCAGGTAGAGGCCTCTTTGTGGGAAAGGAAAGGAGACAATCACCATAGGGGCCTTTATTTATACCTTTGCAAAGTTAGTATCGTGAGACACAAGGTTGCCTAGCAACTCATGACTGAAATTGTCCAGGGGAGGATGTCCTTCTGAAGCCTGAGGCAGCTTGACCACCCGGGCTCTGTGGCCTTGTCTTGCCCCCACATATATGAGCAGTTTCCAGCTTCAGCCGCTCCCCACATCAGAAGATATCCAGATGTTGCAGAGGTGTTACGAAGCTCTCCATTGAGTATTGACACCACCTTTTTTCTAAAACAAGGCATCTGTAAGGATATTAGGAAAGTGTTTCCAATGCCCGGCATGGTGGTGCATGCCTGTAATCCCAGCACTCAGGAGGCTGAGGCAGCAGGCTCACTGTGACTTTGAAGCCAGCCTGGATTATATAGCAAGACGCTATCTCAAAAAAAAAGAATTTTTACTTTATGTCAGGATTATTCTTTGCTAGATAGTTGTAGAGTCATACATTTATATAAATATTTTAAATGAATCTGTCTAGCTTAGAAAATTAATTTTTCAGGTTATGTTGTGAATGCAGTCTATAAAATACGTTTTAGAACTTTATGCATTTGTGCTAATCCCAGCCTAGTTAAGGTTTAAAGAAATTAATAGTAGTCACAGCTGCATTTCTTAATTTGCTTTGCAAATTCAGATTCGCCTATTGCATCTTTGTCATTTTTTTTTAATTGTATATTCATTTAGAGGATTTATCAACTTCTCCATTTAAACTTTGTAATAAAGTTTTGTTTGAGCTTAACTATCGTTTCACACAGAGTTTCCACTGATGCTGCAGGACAACTTTATTACCAGATACTTTTGCATTAAAAACCTATTCATTCATCGTTGCCTCTGATGTATATGTGAATCAAACCCTAAAAGTTTGGGTACTGATGTTTCTGCAGCTTTAATTTCATGGTTCAGCTCTTACTATTATTCTCAGCAGAACATCCAGTTATACAGGGTGAGATTAACTTGAGGGTAGAATGAAGGCCAGTTGAGAGATAAGAGAGCATTTCATCAGGCATTCAGATAGGAGAGTATAAGACCTTGCAGAGGGAGCTCTGGAGGGTGGGTTGTTACACAGCAACTAAAAGCTGAGAGTCAGGCTGGAATGTCGCTGTCACTCTCCACATTCTCCTGCTCTGTGACTTCGTTGTCCATAAGTTTTTAGAAACACACTTGGAGTTTGTTTTATTTTTTTATTTAATTAACAGTGTTTTGGGCTTTTTGCATTTATACATGCAGTCGTATGTGTATACAAACTTTTATAACATTAACCATGTAATGTGAGAAACCTGAAGGATTTGGGGATGTTTATTTGCTTCAGAGTTTTTGACAGATTTAGTTTGTTTGAACTGTCTGAGAAAAGCTCACTTTCATATTCTAAAGACAATAAAATTTTGAGGGTATTTATTGATTTATCTGCATTTTTGATTGATAGACAAAATTTATTTTACTTGTTTTTGTTTATCATTTTGAGAGAGGGTCTCACTATGCAGTGCAGGCTGGACTTGAGCTCACTTTATAGCCCAGGTTGGCCTTGAACTCGAAGTGATCCTCCTGCCTCAGCCTCCAGAGTGCTGGGATCACAGGCATGTATCACCACTTCCGGCTATTTTACTTGTTAAAGGAATTCCTCTTAACATTTATGTTTTGATACTGAGATTCACAAAAGTAAATTCACTCAGTTTGATAGAAAAAAAAGAAATCTTGGTACAGGTGGTCTTAGCTTTGCACTTCAGCTACCATAGTTCCAGGCAAAGAGACAGCTGCCTGTATAACAGGTATCTTTTCCTCTAAGAAACATCATTCCCCAGTGTATTTGTAGTGCTTAGTAATTAATCCTAACCACTCTTGTGTAGTAGTACCATTAATAATAATTCCATCCATAGCTAAAATGTACAGAACTAAATTTTATCTGAAAAGCTAGGTTCTCTCCCACAAAACCTGTAGGCAGTGCTTCCTAAAAAGTTAGTGTAGTCATGTCCACTTTGAGTAAGATGTGCGATACAGGAGGCGTCGCCAGGGAGAGGTAGATGCCTGGGAAGTCCTCAGCTCCCTGCCCAGCAGAGGTGAGTAGCTGACCAAACAGCCTCACTGGCTGTATTCAGAGTTCCGTGAAAGTCATGCGTCCACATAGAATCCGTGTTTTATATTGTCACCCTCGGGACAAAATGCAGAATTTAAAATATTTAATGCCATGAATATTTCTGCATTTTAAGGAACAGTGTGTTTTTGATGTTACGTGTAGGCAAGTGTCACATTTAAGTGTCAGTAGACATTTAGAAACGTATATCCCGTAATTAAATGACGGGTATTTAAATGTAGAAGTATGATCTTCTCTGACATTTATTGCTTTATAGTTATAAAGAAAAACACCCATTTAAGTAACCTGATGGAGCCCGTTTTGTGACATGTCTAAAGATTGACATAAAATACTCTCTACAGCAGAACAGTACACAGGACTCTGGACCACAGGAAAGTGAAGTATCGTCAGAAAATACCTTTACCGTAGCGGAGGATCCAAGATACGCCAGATACCTCAAAATGGTTCACGTGGTAAGCTGACTTGGTCCATCTTCTCTGTCTAGCAGCCTCATTTAAATGCTTAACCCTGGACGTTCCATTGTTACTTTTCCAATCTGAGAAAACTGCTAACCCAGGTTTTCTAGTCTTTTCCTTCCTATTTTAATCAATACTCTGATACCCTGATATAAAGTAACCACAAGTCAAATCTTTCACCTTAAAAGTAAGTACACTAAATTATCATAGTTTAATGTTGATTTGTGTCATTTTTCTTTGCTTTACCCAAGTTGTCATTGCAAACCTTCAATATTTCAGAGAGAAATGAAAGCATACTATTCACTTGGAAAATCATGTGATTTAACTTAGTTCTCACACACTAACACAAATAATGTTCTTTAAAAATATACTCTATTCTGATGCTCACCTGTCAGTGATTTGATTTATTGAAAGAACATAAGTCTTGCAGCCATGTAAGGTAATGCTTTTACTATTGTACGACTTCAGAATTCATATTTTCTCAGAAATTACGGCATTTTCCGTTGCGTGTAAGAGCAGTAGTTAGCTCCTTGTCGTGACTGTAGAAAGTCCTACTGCAAACAGTGGAGAGAACTGGCTGTGTGTCATTTTTACGTTAATCAAAACATTAATAATTTGGAACATTCTGTTATCAGCAAAAGCAGTACTAATTCTAAGGACTGAAAAACAGGATTGTTTTGCTGTCCCTGGCGTATTTATCACCAAATTAATTTAAAAGCAAACGCTAATCTTTGACATCCATAAAGAGCACGTTGCCTAACTGAGAAACTGCAGTGGTAACAGTGCAAGCAAAGGGACTGCACGAACGCCCTCCACTAGCAGAAGGGCGTCTGTCACTCGTGTAATTCTTCCTTGGCAGGCAGTACCCTGGGCTTAAGTTTCTGGGAGAAAGATGGACTTCGGGTAAAGATGTGTTGAGTTCTTCAGTTAATAAAGAGAAGCATGCGTGTGAATGTGCATCAGACAAGCATGGTTTTCAGGCTCCACCCCGGGAAAGCATAAGCTGGAGAGATAGAGTGGAAAAGGTGACTCTCGGAAACAAAAGAGGAGCTTTAAGACGACCTGTAAAACCTTTCCATGGCCTCACCAGCAGAAAACAGGAAAATGTGTGCAGTGAGCTCCTTCATGGCAGATGGTCCTTGAGGACAGGTGTCACACGGTCTGTCCCCTTCACGGGGAAGTTTCAACTGTGAGAGTTCAGAAATCAGCAATGCATGTTTTAAATTGCAGCTGTTCTCCTTTCCCCCCACTAGGCCGTAGGTTGTCCCTTGGTGCGAGAGGCCACCTCTTAGTCCCCCCGCCGCCTGGCTGTCGGGCCAGCCTCTGCGGGATGGCAGCGCGTGCAAAGCGGGCTCAGGCACTCCAGGGTCTCGTGTGCCCTGCGGATCAGGGAGCCACCGCTGTCCACCTACTCCATAAACGTTTATTCAACCCCTGAGGCACTGTCTCAGGGTTGTCTGCGTTTACTCACCCAGTGTAGCTCCTAGACACCAGCTGCAGTTTTTATCCTGTTACTAAGTTGCATGCCTTCTGCGGTGTTGTCACTGTATATAAAATTACCCTTTAAGTGCTCATTGTCTGATCAGGTGGTTTGTCCTCTCACTAGGAGGAGAAGCCACAGTCTTTACAGACCCGAGACGGGTCCCTGCAGCTTAGCCGCCCACGGCCCCTGGCCTACCGCTGCACCGCGGGCCTGCTTGGTGCTCCGGGGGTGAACACAGGGCCCTGCTGCCCAGGGCCTTCGCGGCAGCTGTGTCTGCTGCTGAAACACTTCCCTGTGTCCTCCTGGGTTGCGTTCCTCCCTTCCTTCAGATCTTATCTGCACGTCACCGTCAAGTGCGCCTTCCTTGGCCCCCTGCTTTAAATGACAGCGTCCTCTGGCCAACTCCGTTCACCGCTTCCCCACTATGGTTTTCAGAGTGCGCCGCTTACACGGTGCAAGTTCCCAGGCCCCACCTACAAAATCAGAACCTCTGGGGCTGGGACTCGCAGCCGAGACCAGTGATAACAAACCTGAGAGCCTTGAGTGATGAAAACAGCCCGCCACGGCACGCGTGCCACAGGTTCGCCAGCGTTGGCCCCCTCTATACGTATTTGAAACAAACGTCTTCTGATTAAGCACCGTGTAAGAGTATTTTAAACTGTACACTAAAACTATCAGAAGCTTTCCTTTAAATATTTAAGAAAATAAATGGGTCTTTAAAAAATAAACAAACGCCCCAAACCCTTCATGAGTGCTGGGCACTGCTCTCCAGCCCCCTCCTTTGGCGTGAGTGCCGCTGGCCAGGGGCCCGGAGCTCTGTGCCTCGGACCTGTCCCTGATGTTAGCGCACTTTTCTCCGTTAGTCCCCGCTGCCTCCTCCCTAGGGCGCAGCCTGCCGTGTGCGCAGCACTTCTGCCCGGGCTTCGGGAGCGCTGCTCTTCGTGGGGCGGTGCCGTGGCTTCCGCCCGCCTGTCACCCGTCATCTCCGATCTGCTTCGCAGTTTCACGGGCTGTGCTCGTGTATGCCAGAGCAGTCCAGGGGTGATTTTCAAGGAGAGAGGGGCCCTGTTTCTTACACTGCCCCCAACCCTGAAGGCCCATCCTAGTCGGGTTTCGCTTTATTGTTGTCAGTTTGTTGTGCCAGACTGAATCCCAGGGACCTGCCCCGATCCCAGGGACCTGCCCCAATCCCACTCCCTAATCACACAGAACCGCGGAAGCGCCTGCCCTTCTGTCTCCGAATCTAGCTTCCCCTTCCCTCGGTTACCAGTATCCACATTCTGCTCTTTGGTCTTGGTCTGACTGGCGCTTCGCTAATCATCCCAGATTCTGACTCTGCCAACCCAGAAAGCGGGGGTGAGGGGGTGTCTTCCTCCACTGACCTGTCAGTGCATTTCTGTATTCAGACAGAATTCCCCACTTCAGACCTGCTTCTGTGCTTGTTTGTGTGTACTTTATCTCCCCAGTCAGAGGGAGACCTGAGCAGAAGAGCAGCATCTTGACAAATCCCTTTTCACTTTTACCTGGTCTGCACAGGTGGGCAGAGTGCTTCCAGCGGACATGTAATGCAGGAGGATTGTTGTGAGTTTTGAGACCAGCCTGGGCTACAAAGTGAGCTCACGGCCGGCCTGAACTGCACAGCAAAAACCTGTCTCAAAAAGACAAAAAAAAAAAAAAGGTAAAGGTGAGCAGATTCATATCAGCCCCGAGGGAAAATGCCACTGGCTCTGTCCTTCATCTGCTCCTACCAAATATTTAAAATCAGTAACGTGGTAATATTTATGCTTCCTGCTGACACACAGCTGGTGAGGAGAGCTGACGTGCAGGATCGCACTATGATTTCCGGGTGATCGCACTACATTTCCGGGTGAAATCTCCCAGTCAGTCGTTCATTCTCTTAGGTTGCTTTATTTCCTCAAGTGGGTCTGAGGACAGGCAGGATTCTCGGGGATAAAGGCGGAAAAATAAACACGTGACCGCTGCCCTCAGGAGCGGCCTAACTCCAGTGAATTCTGGAGGTTCCTTCTTTAGAGATTGCCTCAGCAATACCACTGAAAGATTGCACTTGCCAAGAAAGATTGCAGATTTTATTAAACTGCTTGGTGCTTGTCCACCTCAGAGCGTGGCTAAAGTTCCTCTGGCCTGCCCAGCACTTCGGTTTTCATGATAGCAGTAGAACTTAAAGTTTTCCTATTGGTATGGTCTCATTTCCTATTGCTACGATCTGAGAAACATCATTACAGATCATTAAAGCTGTTCTAGAAGCCTGCAGTGCCGCTGTTAGGGAATTGTTTGCATTAACGAAAAGGAAGACAGCCCGTAAGGAAAAGACCAAAATATGTATGCCAAAGTATAAAGTCTGTACCTAGAAGAATAGGAAAGTAGTTCTCAACTTTTTCTCTGCAATAAGCTTGAGTTTGCAGACCACCCATGTAGCGATCGCTTACTCCAGACGAGACCCAGAAAGCCCTACAGATCGCAGATGTGTGTCAGCTGTCCGACAGCCTGGGATGGTGATCTTTCTTGGCTTCCTTAGGCTCCCCTGAGGGTCCCTCCCCAGACCCTCGCTGTCTGCTGGGCTGTGTTGCCTTTATAGTGACCCTGCTGCGTTTGTCACATACCTGTAAATCTACTTTAGAACCTAATAATTTAAACTAATTACTCTGAATGCCTCTGAGCAGAGATGAACACCTTCTTTCACTGATCTCACAGCAGTTTGCAGAGCAGTAAGCAGCACTCTGCCTTTGGTATCTGCGCCTTTTCTGTTCCCCCTGGGTCACCATCCGGAAGGCTTACACTTCTGGAAAGCGGCGGTTGCCTGGGGAGGTGGTGTGGGCTCCTAGGTGTGTCCTGGGTCTCCACTTGGACTTGTGAGACGCAGCGGTCCAGAGCTGCTTCGCTTTCCCTCCTAGCCCTGCGTGACCACTTTCAGGTCAGTTCACCTCTAGTTTCCTTATACATAAAGTAAGACTGGAAGTTCCATCCAGATTTATGGCCTATTACTGGGTCCTCAAATTTGGATATTGTTATTAATGAATATTCCGGGAACACCTGGCATTTTCTGATTCTCCCCCTTTAGGCACGTTTTTCCCAAGTGTTCTCAGTGAGTAATGCTGCTGTGTCCCCCGTGTGGCAGAGCGCTGCCGCTGACTCAGGGCCCGTTGTCATAACAGTGCAGCACACGCCTTTACCAAGTTATGTCCTGCTTTTCCGACTTAACTGCAATCGCGTGCCTAGATCACTTTTCCAACGGCTCTCCCCCTTGTTACTGGCAGAGCTCAGTGAAGCCTTTGCCAGTAATAAATTGGGCATTGGGAAAGTCCGACTTCCATGTTAAAAAGCTAATGACTTACAGTTTTTTTAAAACCAGTTTGCCAAAACAGTCTCTTCACACACTTAGACTTTTTTTTTAAAGCTCTATTTTCTTTGGCCTGCTTAAAATGTAAATTGAATAATCTCTGGTTATGGTAGTTTCGGTGCTTCTGTTGCTGGTGGTGGCTGCTGGCCTGGGCAG